CCTCCCCCTTTCCATCTGGGTCCACTTAATTTCTTCAGAACTGCTCAGGCTTTTGCCTTCTCTGTGAACCCTTTGTCTCTGCCCTGTTGGTACCTTATTTATTATATATGCATTTATTATATCACAGTCAGTATGTTCTGTTTGCATGACTTTGTTACCTACCACATTATATCCTCTTTGAGGGAAAGGTTTGTGTTTTATTCATCATTGTATTCCAAGTATTTAGAACAGGTCCTGATACAAAAAGATCTCTTAGATGTTTAGTTGGAAATGCGTGTTCTTCAAGGGATATATGATAGTCAAGATAATTTGGGAATTAGCTTACAGATGAGATTTTACTATAATTTATGTCCTGTGCAGTGAGACTTCTACATGTGGTCTTTTCTCCTCACCCTCGTGCTTTCTATGGCTGCCATCCCTTTTCAGATATCATTTTGTCTTCTTTTGCTTCTCATGATAATTTAAATGGTACTGATACCGTAAGTCTTTTCATTCGGTATCACGTAGAAGGTTTTACTTTCAGGTTAAGTTTTAATCTCTTGCTACTTATTGGAGAAACTTAAATCTGTACTGGCACATTTTTGGGGATCTCTTCTATTCAAGAGGGAAGGGTGTTAGGGTAATTACAGGTTTTTGAGGGTTGGGGTGGGGAGAGAAGTGATGGATTCCTCTTCGGAAAAATAAGAAACAGAAGGAGACCTGTTGGGAAGGGAGAATGCTACTTTGGATTTATTTAAATACTTTTTTTCTATGTTGCTTAGTACACCGGTATAAGGAAATAAATTGCACCAATTGTAATAACCAGCTCAAAAGCAAGTCTGAATTTGAAATATGTGCCCGGAATTTAGGTGCCTTGTGTAAATCCTATCTGATAGGTTGTGATTTTGTTTAAGTAAATATTCTTTGATGTGTTGAACTTTTTTGATAATTAGGATAATCTTTAGGCCAGACATTTTCTAAAATAGAAGTTTTAAGTTAGTGAAAGCTTAATTAAGGTGACAGTATTTTTGCTGCATATCAAAGCCTTACAGTTGTGAGCTGTGTTACTAGAAATAAGTTCCTTTAAAATTCTTTCATTTATAATATTGTTCTGATGAGTACATTTTTATTTTCATCCACAGAAGTTGCTTGTGCTGTAGACACGAAGGGTAATTGAATTGGTGTGAGATTGCATAGAGGTGGAAATGTGTTAGCCTCATGAAACACTTATCCACTGCTATAATTATTGGGTTGGTAGGTAGTTTAGTTGTCTTTCTTATGCAAGTTTACTTTTTTTCCCCTTAAATCAAAGACCACTGGCAAAGGCCCATCTCTGTAGTTATAATCTAATTTGCATAGAATAATTCCCATAGGCGTTATTTGCAAGGTTACTTTGAAATTTAGAAATCAAGTGTTTTCTTCAAATTGGTTGTCTCTACTAGCCAAAATTATATGTTATGTATTTGGACATGACACTTTTTCTGAAGAAAGTTAATTGTAACTATTTGCTTCAGCAGACTTACGACAGAACAGTGAGTAAACATAGATTTTCTTCTTTCAGGCTTAAATTAGTCACCTTCCCTAAGAATATACCAGCATTCCTTAAAGGGAAAAATATGTATACAAAAAAAAATACACACACACACACACACACACACACACACACACACACACAAATTCCCTTGAGATGTAATTTAGTGCAAATTTAGAGGTAAGATGGTGACAACTACCATTAACTTTCACGTATAAAAAAGCCCCGCCAACTACTATTAAGATTGTTTGCTAACTTTATGACAATGTTTGCCAATGAATTTATGCTTTTATTGGACAAGCTATTCAGTTATCAGTCTGTTCACATTACTGGTATTTATAAGTCCCAAGAAATGTGTGTATTTTTTAAAAAATTTTTGAGATGATTTCATTGAGTACCTTAAGTTGAATGCCCACTTCAGACATAATGACTTGTACTTTAACCTGCATAGAATTTTAAAAATTAAAACAATCAATTCAAAACAAATCTATTTCTTAGGAATTAGCTGCTGCTTTGAAGTGGGGGCAATTCCTCAGTAGGAAATAAGGTAGCAAAATGGGGAGCAGAAAAAGATAAGAGTCTGGAGAATATTTTTACCTGTATTTTGTGCCCTTGAAGCATTTCTTCATATTGCAGTGAGAATAGGTAAGTGCCAGTGGAAAAAATTGTGTAGAGCATTTAACTTTGCTGGTAATTTCTATTCATTAAAGTTGGGTAAAATGGGATTATAATGTATATCTCTACAACAGTTGTTGCTTTATATCATATTGTTGTTCAGCCTGTTAGGACTGTGGGTTATTTTGGAGGTGTGTATTGGGGGTGGGGGTGGGAAATGGTGGGTGGTGATAGGGACGTTAGAGGGAGTATCTTAGAAATTTTGCTTGTTTCCTATTCCACCATTCCTGCTATCCTCTATATGTTAGTTATGTTAGTTTAGATTAGTGTGGGGGATGTTAGGAGTGGCCTGGTTTCTTTCCTTCTTTTTCCTAGCCAAGGAAGTATCGCCTGGGGATGCTGGAGGAGAGGCTAGTTCCGATGGGATCAAAGGCACGAAAAGCAAAGAACCCTATTGGCTGCCTTGCTGACAGGTGTAAATCAGGAGTACCCATCAATATGGTTTGGTGGAACAGAGTCACAGAAAACAATTTACAGGTAAAAATAATTTTATTAGACATTTTTTGAAAGTGAATATCTTGGCTGCTTTCTGTGTCTGTGTGGGTGGTGGGTGTGAAGGTTGGATGGCTTAGTTGATATCCTGAGGTGATTTTTTTTTTTTTTTTTTTTTTT